ATTTTGTATTGCCAATCGCATCATTTTCTTGGACAATTACGGTTTGTTCAGTAAGGGAAACATAGACAATCAAGTTTTATGGGGCTCGACTATAGACGGTACAACTAATAGTTTAAAATCATGAAAAAAAATATTTTCATTAACATTCTACTACTGCTTTAGAAATGATCACATCTCATACGTGGCGTGCAATCATCTAGAAATTCATCAACCACTTGTATAATATTCACTCATTTTTTATATGTATTTTGAAGTAGTCCAAGTATTAGTTTCAGCATTATATTTACCTAATTATTGCGTTTTATTTTAATTAGGTTCTTTATATTAGTTTATATGAGTTTAGGGACCAAATCATGCAATTTCAGTTAACATTACTAGGTCCTCAAGTTAAAGCCACAGTGTATTGAATTTGACTTTTGATTAATTAATAAAATTTATGTTGCGCTTTCTCAATTTTCGCAAGTTATTAGATATTTCTTGGAATTAACGAATTTATCAATAAGAATCAATTTTCAATATTAATACGCGAATCGATGAATCTTGATTTTCAACTTTTCGATATTCTTGTAAAGAATTAACAAATACTTGGTTGTATTCATCATTATAGTCAATTTCTCGCTTTTGATTTCATTAACATTTCCTCAATAATTTTGACATTTTTTCCTTGTCATGTACCATCTTTGACTTTTAGACTGTGTTTGATAGGTTACATTTTCCACGAAAAATATTTTCCACTTTTCCAGATTTTGGTTGTTTGATGGCAATATTTTCTATGGGATTCCATTTCCTCTCCCCCACCCCCTCATACGCCATTTTAGTCACTTTTCAAGGAAAATGTTTTCTTGATGTTTCGGTGGTTTTTTTTTTTTTGTTTTCCTTCTTTTTTTGTGGAAATTGAAAAAAATTCTAGATACAATTGTAAAAACATTGAATTAAGCTAAATGAACATAATGCTTAACATATGGGTTGACCGACCTGTCACATTGCATGTGGGTCCCAACCTGAATTAAATAATGCCGACCTCCCCCATGTGTGTGTGGGGGTGTCATCCCCTATGTCAACCATTATGTTTGTGTAGCATAACTCAAAAACATTTATTACTTTTATTAATAATTTCCATTTAAAACAAAATCAAACGAATGGTATTCGGTATAGTAATTTTCTAAAAAAAAATTTAATTTTTAATTTTTTTTTTTTTTTTTGCAATTGGAACAAATTCTAGACCCAATGGTAGAAAAAATTATCACATTAATGAACAATTTCCATGAAAAAAAAAGACAAACGGACACCAAACTTTCAACATTTTTCAGGTAGAAAATTATACCAATCAAACACAATTAATTACAATTCCCAGGAAAACATTTTCTAGGAAAATCTTTTCCCTATAAAACATTTTCTTT